AAGGGTTTGAAGAAGAGGATGATGGGTATTGCACTCTGCCTCCTGCTGCTTTCTTCAAAGAGGTTAGAGCAGTTTTTTTTCTGTCACAAACAGTAGATACTAAACAAAGAAAGCAAACATTTCATACAAGTCAGAGATTTTCTTTTTCTGTTGTGTGACTAGAAGTTAAAAATAAGATCAAATCAGATAATGTAAAGTAATAGGATCATTAAAACTATCTTGAATTACCCTTGTATTTAATGAGGAACCATTATGTCATGCACAAGTTTAAATGATATTCATTTTTAATAACTAATCCCCGCTCACCACCCACCCAAAGTAAAAAGGAAATCTAAGGCACAAATGGTCTGTCCACAGACATATTGCCAAAGTCAACAGAAAATCATGATGTTGAGCTCATGCGCTCATTCGGGGTGGGCAATTAAAACTATTAAATTTTTCAAAATAAAAGATGTTTTCGAGTACCAGTTTGTGACTGGAATAAAAATGTTCCTGTCTCGGCCCCTGCTTCTTTCACCTTCAATAAAGGTTTGGCCTGTCACAGTGAAGCCCAGAGGTCTGGGTCGTTCCAAGTCCCTTGCAGGAGAAACCCGACTCTGCCTCACAGCTACCTCGCTCATCTTGGTCAGAGTGGGTGTGTGCAGTGATTTGCCTTCAGTTACAATACCTCTGCTGAGCGTTCGGCGCTTCGGCCACTTGGAGGGCTTGTTCTTCTTGGAGCTAGGCAGGTCAGCACCAAATGGTCCTGGAGAGATCTGGATGGAAGCAAGAGATCAAGGTAAATGAGAACAAAGGTTGTGTTGATATTAGTAAAGCCTTATGACAGGACTGTGCCCCCCCTAAAAAAAAAAAAAAAAAAAAAAAAAACTTGTCTTCTATACAGGAAACCTCGCAATTGCCCAGAACATTCACGAGGTAGTTCGGGAGACGGTCCGGGCACTACGAGTGCTTCCTGAGTTCAGTTGGTCACCAGCCTCCAGCCACCATCAGCCTCAGGCACTTCTGGCCTCAAAACGCAGTAGACCCATATACAGAGACAAGTTGGTGAATGTGCGGCTCAACAGTTCTCCCCTGGCCCTGCCCCGCAGAAACCCTGAAATCCAGACTAGTCCAACACGGTGTTGCCTAGAGCCCTGCAAACCAGATAAAGCAGAACCTGAACCTACTCTGAGCTTCACCTCACATCTGAGCCCCATCAGATCCCAGCTGGGCTCCAGGTCTGATGCTGGCAGCTATATGGAAATGAAGATGGAGGGCTGGGAGCTGGGTGATGAGGAGGAGGGGCTGGGCTATGTGACGATGTCCCCTCAGGTCAGACACAGTTCACCTGTGCTGCCTCAGGATGACTATGTGACCATGGCGAGCCCACATAAACTCAACTGGCCAGCTCACTCTTCCCCCTCCTCTTCCTTTCAGACATCCTTCAACAGGTCAGTTTAACTTGAGCCAGTTACTATACATTTTCAATAGCTTTGTTAAGCTACAATGAATGAAATGCAACACTTGTCATATTTTTATTTAGTGTTGCAGCCCGCCCTTGACTACACCTTGAAAAGGTGTAGCAGTATACAAGAGTAAACAGGATGAATACTGAGAATTTACAGTAGTAGTTCAGCAGTTTCAGTAGTTTATGCTAGTAAAACATAGGACTACTTTTATTGGTACAATAAAATATGAGTACAAATATAAAATGCAGGGCATTTGGTGTGTTTGTGACCACAGTGCCTCTTTGTTTAGGTTTTCTCACATAAGGGTTTTAGGGACTTTTCTCACTGACAAATGACATTATCCTGCGGTGTTTGTGACTGATGCAGACAGTGACTAAATTGCCTCTTTAATGCAGTGATTGTTAGACTTGTATTAAAGCTGATATTTACTGCTGTTTAGTGTCCAACCAATGACTCAACTGAGACTTTAGTAGCTGTCTTTGTATCTAACTGGAGTTGCTGCATGAAATGCTGGTGCACTATTATGTAAGAGTGCAACAGAAAAGGTTGAGTACACTTGCTAAATAGACAGTAGTAAAAAGTAAAGCCTGACCAACACAGATTTGAATTGATGTGACAGTTATTTTGGCTACTGCCTGTGTATTGTTTTAACACTTAAACACTTTCCTTTCTTGCGTTTTAGCTGCACCTCTGACAGCTACTCACCTATACACCCATCACATCACCAGACCACTGAGCACTGTCTGCCACACTGGCTGGTGACCTCAGTGCAACAGTCAGAAACAGAAGCTGGCCAATCACAGATGAGCTTCTGCTGCTCCACTCAATCACAGGATGATGCAAGACGGGAGCAGACATCAGCTCAGTATAGACACCCAGCACATGCCAGGCCTACTTCTTCTCCTGTGGGGACTGCTGATGTGCCCAACCTTAGGATTCCGTTTGACATGAGTGGATTAGGCTGTACCAGGTCAGTCCAGGGTAGTCCAAACTCTGGTGCAAACCAGTCTAATGGTCTCCAAGCAGTAGCAGACAAGTCTGTTAGAAGATCCCAGCTGCTGTCCTGTCTGCCTTCTTGCCTGCAACCATAGGACATGTCCCGTAGTGCAGCATGAGACTGAGACAGAGTAAAACCTGATGCTGAAGGAGTATTTGAATTAAATATCTCTAACTGTTGCTAGTATTTGTTGTACTTAATTCTACTAGCATGTTGACATGTATAGAGGAACTAGAAGTTTCAAGTCTTGCATTCTGTACTAAAGTATATGTTTAAGAGAAAGTTCTTGACAATTTTAGCGTATTTCTCTGTAAAAGCACTTAGTGTCTGTTATTTTGCATATTTCATTTTTTTTTTTTCCTCATTTAAAACCTTGGGTTTTGGTATAAACCACAGAGCACTTAAATGTTCCACTGTTTGTGAAAGAATTCACAGAATAAAGTTATAAACAGTTTTTCTCTGGAGTCCCTCAGGTTCATGTAGCTAAAATAGGAATTTACATGATGTTGATGAGGCTGAATCGACTTGATATTCAACAGAGCTTAGATGTCAGTGTTGCGGAGGTACAGTGCACTGATCCACCCGTCAGCACATCACTGACATCTTGTGGCTTGAATTCAACTGTTTGCTTGTCTTTTGTTAGAAAGATGTCAACAAAATACACTAACAATACTAATAGTTTGTCACGTGTACACTGTCTGATGAAGTTACAATTAGTGTGACTGAAGTATTTAACACAGTTATGTTTGCAATGAGGTCGCTTAAGAAGATACCCTGACTTGAATACTTTTGCATGACAACACCCGCCTACTTGTTTCATTAAAATCGTAATTAGTTCAACATAATCTGATGTGAGCTGAGAAAACTGCATGATGTCTTTTCCTCATCATTTCACTCCCATCATTGGAAAACTATATAAAAAAAAGCATGATGACAAGTTGACTGATTTTGTCTAGGTTTATATGAGTGGATTTGGCACCATGTGGAACTTCTTTTATTTTTATTTTTTTTTTTGCATTTAACTGTTTGCACTCACTGTCTCCAGTCAATTTTCTAACTTGAATCACATTTAAGCTGTGGTTATGAGAAGATCACTTCTTTTAGGATGCTGTCATCTCCAGACTGACTCATCTCCTCCCATTAACCATATCTGTGAATACAGATCTTAGTTAAAATATAAGATACAGTCCAAACAAGGAAAACCACCACTTGAATTCAGAGAAATTTTACAGATGCCTCCACATGACCCACACCACGACCACTTCTGTCTGAGCAAAAACTATAAACCATTTTGTCAGATGCAGTGAAGTGTTTAAGGAGGAAGGGATGGACATTAGTCACACATAACACAAGCCTTGATTGAAAATGAGTTTTAATGGTTACTCTGAAAAACGTTTAATTATTTTGTATTTACAGTTGAATTACTTTGAAAGTTTGGTAAGATAATCTGAGAGCCGGAAGACCACACAAACACAAAAGGAAAAAATCCTCTATCACACATTTTTGAGGACTGGGCATTAGCTGTCAGAGGTGCTTTGCTGTGTTTCTAACAGAAACAGTGAACCTAAAGTAAAAGAATCACAATTTAAAGTTCTGCATAGACGAGAAGATCTGCTGTCATTCAAACCAGACCCAAACTCACTTTTCCTCTCACTTAGTTGCGTTTAAATGTGCTTAACATCTGGCAACTAAGCACAACTTAAGTCCTAAAACAGAAAAAAATTCTCTTGGATGCTACAGTAAAGCAGGTCAGATAAGATGGTAAGACCACATGAGAATATTTTAAAATCCTGAGGAGAAAGGAATCTCCAGTGCATGAGAGCGTAATGCCTCAGCAATGCAAAGTCTCTGCTATTTCTCCTGAAATATCTCCTGTCTCTTTACCGATCGGGTCTTTGAAGGCAGAAGACTTTGGCCTGGTTGTCTCCTGAGGCGGTTACTGCAAGAGATGCCTCCCTGGAGGAGACAGAGAGGAGGACAGTCAGGCAGGAAATCAGCATAATTTATGTAGTTTCAAGTTTTATAGATTATCCTTTCCAATATCGGCTTCTAGCTTCTTGACCAATTGAAAAATCAGTGGAGAAAATCTATATTTTGTGCAATTTCTTGTTACAATGTTTTTGTTAAATGTGACTCGATGTTTCTTCAAAACCTTTATATACATTTTCTATTAGCAATAAAGTATGACATTGTGCTTTAAAAACTGGCAAAGTGTCAAAAAACGTACACATGATTATATATAAAGTTAAAAAGCATCCATCTGCCTGTAGTGTTTTGGCTCATTCCAGAAACAAAATATTCCACATCACATTGTGAAGATTTATTTGCAAACTAAAGCTCTAAGCAGCCACTCTCACACTGTAACATCAACACAACTCTAGTAGATTTTGATGTTGACAAAGTAAATTAATGCTGCTAAGTGTTTAGTTTTAGGCTTGAGTTCAAACTTGCAAAGCAACAGTACTGCTGAAGTATCCCTGAGCAGGTTTCATTGCAGTGAACTGGGGCAGGAAATAATCATCTGTCCATCTCTCTCTGCATTCGCACCTGTTGATGGCGAAGTCGAGGATCTCTGCTGTGTGGCCGCAGTATTCTGACACCATGTTTCCAGAGCGAGCATCCCACAAACGCAGCGCTCCATCTAAACTGCAGGTGGACACCACAGAAGAAGACTCTTCCCACCGCAGGTGAACGATGCCGGCCTGGAGGAGCACAGATGACAGCAGCTATGAGCTTCTGACATTTCTTACTCAAAACACACCGATACATGTAGCTAATGCTCTTATCTGATTTGCAGTGTAGCTCATGTTAGTAGCTAGAAACACACTGGTTGCTTTGCTAACAAGCCTTTAGGTAAAACAGTTAAAAACATTTCTGCCTCATCTTAGAGAAGAGGACAAGGGAGTTAGCAGTATGACGACAGTATATACTTGATCTGTCACCAACAAAAATGTTTGAGAATGCATGGAGATATGAAAGGGAAATAAACTAAAGCACACACGCTCTCCCTTATTTGTGATGCTAGTTACCTCATGTTGGCACTTGTGCCTCAGGCCTTGTGTAGAGAGGTCATATATTGCCAGAGTCCCATCCAGGTACGCCACGGCTATGAGAGGTAGGCTGCAGAGACCAGAGAGAGGTGAGCCAGCCAGCCAGCTGCAGCAGAACTGTGAAACTCTTTCAGTTTATCTGAAGATAAGATTTGACAGTAGTCCAATTGTACCATAACTCACACGTTACAGAATCCCACAGATTCAACCGAGTTGGATTCTTCCTCTTCTTTTAATCCTTTTGCTTTGCCTCCCTCCACAGAGAATGTTCCAACCACCTTCACATACACAGACACAACCCAACAAACACAGACATCAGAAGCTGATAAAGACTGCTGTCTTAAAAAGAAATCAAAAACTAGAAAAGTATCTCAGTTCTAAAACTGAGATCTCCATGTGTCTGTGTGCTTTATTAAAGCACACAACATTTTTTCCTTTGTTGCATTGCACCCACCTTGCCTGTGGTGGTATTGAAAAGCTTGGCGCAGCCGTCCACTGACCCAGTCAAGACCAGAGAGCCGTCCTTGTTACATGCCAGGCAGGTCAGCGACCCCTGGTGTCCGTCTTGACCTGTCATAGGAGGTAAGAGATGTGACTGTAATGATCTGATGAGCTAGTTTGACAGATGGACTCATATGTCACCCTGGATAACACAACCTACAAAAAGTCTAAAATGCAAAGGTAACATCAGGATGAAATGACATGTTGTAGCTGCCTGACTGACCTTTAATGACATGGATAGCGTTGCCCTGCTTTAAGTCCCACACACGCACTGTCCCGTCCTCATAACCCACCACAGCCCGCTTACCTGGGGGGAATTATTAAAAATACATTTCACTTCTAAGTAAAAATTATACATATTGAAATATAAACATACTGAGAAGAAATCTGATAACTAGCCAAGCTATGCAATGCAGAGTAAAGAAAAATTATCTTTAAAAAAGTCAAATTTTCACTGGAAGCACCTTGATAAATATTGCCAAGTGGCTTTTAATTGCACCTTTAATTGCCACATTTTTTAAAATAATAAATGGCTTGTCTTCTCATCTCTTACCATCAGGCAGCACTTTGCCACTGGTGGCCTGGCATGCAGGACTCTGGAATGTTTTACAGTCTCCTGCAGGGATCTTCCACATCCACACGTTGCCATCGTCTGTTCCTGCCAGCAGCACCGGAGCGCAGGGATGCCACTCCAGCCACTGAGGAGGAAGGATGGCAGACAACCACAATGAACTGGTACGTCACACACATACACACTAATTATTTCCTTCTAATTTCCACAGCAGTTTTCTACTAGTGGCTAATGAGCAGATGTCATAATTATTATGGGTTGTGTGCTTTGCTAAAGGGCAACACAGCAGTCAAGGTTAAGCAAGGGAAGAATGTCTGATCGTTCACTTCCTCCACAAGACCTCAAACTCTCAGCCTGAGTGGTCATCCTCTCTTACAGGGGATTTCCACTAGAGGACTGTACTGAAACATGTTGAGACGATTAACACACGTCACAGGTACTACATGTGTTTCCACTACACTTTGCCTGCTTTGAAAATAAGATCTGAGAGCCAAGTATCAGCACCCCTCAGGAGGTAGTACTAAAATCAAGTACCAGGACTATGAGGGGGGAGGGGTGGTTCCAAGCAGAGCAGTTGCCAGTGATTTGTTAAATATCCGTGTCTTTGCACCTCAACCATCAGCATTACAAGCACCGTGTGTGTAAGATGGGTGCAGCCCCTCCCTCCTCAGAGACTGACAGACAATACAGTGGGAAAACAAAGCAGGGCAGTCCACTCCAACCCCGGAGGTTACGCTTGGGATGGTTAAGGGAAGTATTTGGTCTACAGCTCGTTAGGGTCCGGTAGTGGAAACAGCTTTATTTCCTCATAAATTCCTTCAGCCTCCATAAAAACTGTAAGTGCTTACAGATGTAAAAACTAAACAGTCACACAAACACATAGGCTCACCTCCAGGTCTCCGACTTCAAAACACCAGATCTCCTCTTTGGTTTCTATTTTCCAGACTTTAATCATGCCGCTCATGTCACCCGAAGCCACCAGGGAGGAGTCATGGCTGAACACAGCACATGTCACAGAGTCTTTGTGACCTGTAGAGATTGCACGCAGTTTTTAAAAACGATTACAGTGTCACACAGATCATTTTTAGCTGCAGCATGAAGTACCACAAAGCGCTAATGGCTACAGCGAAACACCAAGGAAAAGAAAACTTAAAAGCATCAGTTTCATACAGACAGTGTTTTATTTGGCAGGCATGGTGTGGATGGTTCTGACCCGAGTATATAAACTGACTTTCAGTATAAAAACTGCAGAGTTCAAAATTAAATGATCCAAACCCACTTTGTGTAAACACAATCTTCAGTGTGCCTTTCACACTGACCTGTGCACTCCAACAGAACTTCCCCGTCGCTCAACCTCCAGACATAGGCCTTATCATCCTCTCCTCCTGTCACAGCCAAGCTGTTTGTCACAGGATCCAAACTCACGCAAAACACAGAGCCTGGAGGAAGATAGGTCAAAATCCATCTTTAAAAGACTGGAGTTGACTGATAGTAGCACACCAGCCCAAGGCAGGACTTTACCACTGTGTTTGGAAAAGGTGACATCGCTGTCATCTTGCACGGGCTCAGCTTCCATCTCGTCTTCAGTCTCCCAGCCCTCATTGTCATCATCTGCATTTCCGGGATCTTCAAAGTCAACATCCCCCAAGTCATCAGCCAAATCATCTGTTAGTGATAGGAAAATAATGTTAATGAAAATAAAACGTAATGATTATAGGGGCCCTTCGGCTGGAAAAGGCCCCAACAAATCCTCAGCTACGCCCCTGAAAAGTGTCATTTGATCTTCGGTCAAACGCCAGGCACTCAAAACAAATAACAAATAACAAACACAGCATCCTACAGTGGCTGTCACAGGTCGACATTGCCAAACTATGTAAACTATTCCCTACTCACCAGGACCCGGCTCCGTGTCGTTCAGATCAATGACTTCAATAATTTCCTCATCTCCGTGGAGCTCAATAGCATTTTCCTCAGTGTTATCCATGCTGCTAGCAGGCTAAAAGCGAGCCAATAAACAGAAAAGAAACCGTGCGAGTAAAGCTAGCTAGCCCAACCTTAGGCTACCGCGCTTTCAACTACTAGCAGAATCGCAACGTGAGTAAAAGTTCCACTTTAGCTGGAAAATCGGTACATTTAATGTTGCATGAATTTGAATACAAAGTAGTGAAATATTAAACCAACTGCCTCCCCATGTTTTCTTCACATGTCACAGTGACGGGACAGATCGACGCATAATGATGACGAAAGAAAACTGTTCCCACTTTTGTGTCCACAAGATGGCGACGTTATACAACAGTCAAGGGCTCAGAAACTAAAATACTGTATGAGCAGTTTGTGAGACCAGTTGGAGCTGTTACAAAGATCCATCAACCCCTTGCTGTGTTATTTCTCCTTATATACACGAACAGTAAACACTAAACTAATCTATTTTGGGTCTGCAACTACTACTCAGTGGTGGAATATGTACCGAGTGTTTCTGCTTAAGTAAAAGTAGCAATATCACAGTGGCAGTCAGCTTTATTCAGTATAGAAATTCTCTGCTGAAAGAAAAAGCCCTGCATTCAAAGCACTACTTAAATAACAGTACAACTATTAGCATCAAGCAAACAAAAAGTAAAAGTAGTAATTCAAAACAGTTCATTTCAGAATGATATATATTATAAAAATAGCCTATAATGTGTGATGCAATAGTGTGTAAGCATCACTAAAGTTTCATTTTATAACCTTGTCTACTGACGGGTACACTAGCTTAATCGAAAATAATGCACAATATATTTAGGCTACCTGATTATATTTTGTATTGGGGCCCTTGTGCAAATTATAAAGTAATAGGTGAGTCTGCACTCCAGGTCTGCTGAGTCCTCCCTATGCAGAATGAGATTGAAAACCTTTGTTTCCAAACTAAAAATAAGAGCCATATTTGACAGTCCACACACAGTTGCTCACATTAATATATATTCATAAGACTGCAGTAGATCACATGGATAACATTATAAGCAAAGCAGTTCTCCATTTTAAAAGTGCCTCTCCTTTCTTCCTTAATCCCTCCAACAAAAGTTCCCTGGTTAGAAATATTTTATGAACACTTAAACTGTTTGTCTATTTCAGGTTTTTGGTCGTTTTTTTTTTATGTCTGTTGGTATACGCTGCTGGCAGGCCTCATAGACTGCATGCCCAAGTAGTTTTACTGGCTGCCTGGGCCCTCCATTTTGAGCATTCCCTGGAAAAAAACAACCCACTCACGATGTGGTGAGATATTGGAAACACCAGGGTGTATGTTATTTGGGCTTTTCAAATCTGCAGTGAGTGAGAGATTTATAAAATCCACATTTGGTTATGAGTAATGCTGGAAGAGGCTGCTGAACTTTCACTCTGATAAGTCGATGACATTACTTGTGACACTGGTTACAGAGTTTTATTTCATCAGTTCATTATTTTTTCTGGCCAGCAAAGGACTTCATTCAGCTCCCATTCACATAACATTGTCAGATTCATTTGGGCATATGACTCGTGTTTTGGGCCATTTTTACTACAGTCGTTAGCAGCTGATTTTGAAGGATGATACAAATACTGATCCTATATTTTCTCATATAATTACATTAATGATTTTCATACCAAAACATGGCAAGGAGCCACTGTTTACTCCAGAAAGAGCATTTGAAACAGCACTTAGACCATCATGAGACACTAAAAATGTCCATAAAAACCCAGACTTAGGATTTTTTTCAGGCTTAGCAACTCCTCAAGGCAGAGTGGTTAATAAAATGTCTGCAAAAATAAAAATAATAACTGCCTGGTCACATTAAAGACTGACAACATGACTGAATAAAGTATGGAAAGGTAGTTTAATCCTGGTCAGTCGTATATAGTCTCTGGTAACAGAGCTCATCAGGGACCTTTTTTCTGCATTTACTTTTACACATTTTTTTGATAATACTCCTGCACTTTAGCTTAAGTAGAATTTTGAATGCAGGAGTTTTTTGTAATGGGGCATTGTTATATTGTTATGTGAGAGAATAGCATACACTTTTTACCACTAAACTTCACTCAGATTTTAGTGAAATGAAGGCTTGACTTTAACCAGAGACTTTACTTGCAACTGTAAAAAAAAGTGTTTCCAGGGTCAAGAAAACTATTTGCCTAAAGTTAAAGGCGATAAGACTTGTGCTTTTGTGTGTAGAAGCAGACTGTTTAGCACTGGTGGAGGTTTTATTGAGTCCTTCAGAGTTTGGTTTTGTCTTTTGAATCTGTCTATTTATATCCAGACAGCCTGGAACAGTACATTGAGTGGGCTTCTCTCTGCTGCCATCAGAACAGCAGAGACCAGGAGCGACCAATCATAACAGAATTTCTCGGTTTATCACTTCTGCAAGCTGGTTTATGCCGGAAAAGCGGAGCCTGGGGTGATGTTAGCTTATAGGCACACACATGAAAACACACTCTGTCTGACCAGAACATGGAGGCATACAGTATTCCTCTGCTTAGTGGGTGTCTGTACGCATGTACATACACAACCACAAACAGTATCAGTAATAAGGCCTGGGAGCTGTTGCTGTGTGAAAGGTAATTACTCCATGCAGCTCAGTGAGGCTTTGATGGAAAGTTTTAGACTAACTGGCTTGACTGTGAGAAGCCTTGACTTCTTTTTTAACAAGAACTCTTTATGCCTCTTTTTTTTTGCTCTTTTCTCTCTTAACTGCTCTAGTTTCATGATATCCTAGAAAGATTTTGTCACTTTTAAAAAAATAAAAACAAGCTAACATATAAGAAAGGACTTAATTCACCTAATTCCTTCAATTTATGTTGGAGGTTGTTAATGCACAGTCCCATCACATGCTGTCAAATGCACAGTGTTTTCTTTCTTCCTGGCAAAGCAGAGCTTCTTTGTGATGCTGAGGTCTGCCTACTTTGTCTGCATGTTGTGTCTGACTCAAGTGGGACTGTGTTTGGTGAGATGACAGTTTCCCTTCTCAAACCACTAACAGCCAGTTGTGTGTGTATTGCAAGTGGCCTGGTCCACAGCCTGTGTGTGATGTGTCTGCTGTGGTAGCAGAGCGGTAGTTTGCGCAGGCCCTGCACACTCGCCTGTTGACTTTTTAGCCTGATGCTGCTCCTCTTTCAGCCACTGGCCAAAAACATGGTGTATTTTTGGATCACCATTACTTGGGATCTGTGTTTTTATCCAGAGCCATGTACAGTACTTTGGTGCAAATGCTTTTGAGGACAAATATGAGAATTCATAGCTACCCACAGTGGATATAAAGATGAAGCAGGAGAAGGTAACGGCTACTACCTTGGATGCAAAATAGTTAAACTAACATAATCAGTGATTTGGCAACCTGAGTGTGATGTTTGCTGAATTGCAAATGTGCTGCTCTAGGCAATATAAGACAATCTAATCCCTGCTTTGACATCACTGCTAAGGATGCCTACTCACATACTGTATACACACATTTGAGTGTTTTATGCATGTCTGCATCAGCAAACGCACATGTAAATCAAAAAGACTAAAGTGCAGATGTCTAAGTGCAATTTACAAAGTACAAATTGTGTGCTGCAAGAATATGATGAGAACATAAGTTGTTCAGCAATTTGCAACTTATCCTTAAAGAAACACAACATACTGTAAATCTTCCCATTAATACATCTTACATAGCCTTTTGTTGGTTTTGGTTGGCTTAGGTCTTCACAGACTTTAATTAAATCATATTCCAATCTAGAAACAACATGTTTAAATTCTTTAAGCGGTTGAAAATGAATATGGTGTCAAGCATGTAAACAGAAGGATGATAAAGGTAGCCCGTGCTATCTCCGATGTATAAATTGTGTTTAATATACATACAGATAAAAAAGGCCTGCAGCTCTGAGGATTTAGCCCTAAAAAGATAACTCAAGCACAACAACATCAGAGATGTCTCCAAGACTGACTGGCTTATGTAACTGATGCTCCCTAGCTCATCCACAGAAATTATAATCCTCTGTTGCTATGGATATGGCTGTCCCAACAGGCCTCCCTTGTACTCCCAGAGAGGAGCAACCTTGGTTAATAAATGCAAGTTGTAGTCAAGCAGCACA